AACATAGACAATTTTATCCTTAGGTACCCATATCTTTTTGGGTCCTTATTTGTTAGAGTTACCAAAACTCTGTTTGAATTTTGGTTTAGCAGAGAAATCATTACTAGTATATTTTAAATCATGTTTGTGCCCATATGTAAAGTGAGAATTCAGAGGAGTGCGTTTAATAACCAAATCCTTAACTTTCTTAGGTTGGTATACTTTACCTTTGTATCCTATACCTTTCCTGCCATTTCTAATAACTTCATAGATTATTAAAGCCATCTTGCTTCTATTTATGTTCTTAGCAAGGAATTTCTGAAAGCTATGATCATATTCCTTTATGATCTTATCAGGGTTATTAGGAACTTTTGAGATAGTTTCCTTCTGAGTATTTTGTAATTCATTTTCAAGTTTTGAAATTTTTTCTTTCAGCTCAGAGTTTTCCAATCTTAGATTCTTAGTTTCTTCAGAGTCAGAAACTAGATCCTTTTTTCAGGTTCTTGTTTATGACTCGAAGTTTCTGATACCTTTCTATAATTTCTGACAAACTCTCTTCTAATTGAGATCTAGAAAAGTTAGAAAATATCTCTTCTGCCTCTGAGTACGATTCTGATCCAGATGATTCAGTATCTTCTGATATGTTGGCCATAAGGGTAATGTTGGCTCTTTCATCTTCTGATTCTATGTCTGCTTCAGAAGAGTCTGAGTCATCCCATGTTGCCATGAGACTTTTCTTCTTCTCCTTAAAGAACTTCTTTTTAGGTTTCTCCTTCTGAAGCTTTGGACAACGGCTTTTATAATTCCCATGTTCATTGCATTTGTAGCAGACAATGTCTCTGTTTCTTGACTTTCTGTATTCAGAAGATGGTTCAGACTTTCTGTGTCTAGACGATGATTCAGACCGATTCCCCGTTCTTCTGGAATTTCTGAACTTCCTTTGCATGTGCTTCCACAGCTGATTGACTCTTCTGGAGAGAAGGGATAATTCGTCTTCTTCTGATGAGGATCCACCAGAGTTTTCTTCTATTACCTGCAAAACTTTAGAATCATATTTTTTGCTAGATTTAATAGCTAAAGGCTTACCTTGCTTCTAGGGCTCATCATCTTCTAACTCTATCTCATGACTTCTGAGAGAGCTGGCAAGTTCTTCTAAAGATATTTTGTTCAGATCTTTTGCCAGTTTGAGAGCAATGACCATGGGTGTCCATTTCTTTGGTAAACATTTGATGATCTTCTTTACATGATCAGCAATTGAGTACCCTTTATCCAAAACTTTTAGCCCAACAACCAGAATTTGAAATCTTGAGAACATTGTTTCAATGGTTTAATCTTCTTCCATTTTGAAGGCTTCATACTTCTGAATGAGCGCAAGAGATTTGGTTTCTTTGACTTGCATGTTGCCTTGATGCGTCATTCTCAAGGAATCAAACAAGTGCTTTGTTGTCTCTCTGTTAGTGATCTGAGTATGAGATGGCACTCAAGAGAATAATTCTGACCTTGTGATGATTTCTGAAGTCTCGCTTTTGATGATATGACATTCGTTTTCTGTCAATCTTCTGACCGCTTTCATCAATAGGATGTATGTACCCATCAATTGCCATATCCCAGAGATCAGCGTCATGAGCCAGAACGAAATTTTCAATTTTGTCTTTCCAGTAGTCAAAGTTCTCTCCATCAAATATTGGAGGTTTGCCTCCGATTTTGTCTTTCTCATCATGGTAGTCATTGCCGATGTTCTGACTTGACCCCACCATAGTGTTTTTCTTAGCTTGGATCTTTTACTGACACGGTTAAGTGCTTGAACTCAGAATCAGGCTCTGATGAAAATTGAAGAATGGAAAAACACAAGAAAGGGGGGTTTGAATTTGGATTTTTAAAACTTAAAGTAAAGAACAAGTTGGTTATCCTGGTTCGTTTGAACTCAAACTACTCCAATCCACCCGCCAAGGTGATTTCTCCTCTCTCAACGAGGTCTTAATCCACTAATCAATCTTGATTACAAATCTACTTTGACAACCGTCAAAGTCTTCTTGAGTATAAACCACAACCCGGTTTTTCTCAAGGAATTTCTCGTAAACAATGTATGAATAAAAGTGTACAGTAGTATTTCTAATTAAACAGTATCACAAGACAGTGGTGTTTTACACAATTTGAATGTTGAATGTTTGAGGATGAAAGATGATAGTTGTGTTACTGTTCGTGTGTAAATCGTGAACGATTTATCCTTAAGGCTTGTTTAAATAGGCGAAGCATAGATGGGAATTTGGAAACTTGATCAATGACAATTAAGGCGCTTTCCAAAAATAAATATCCTTGTTCCCTTCCAGTCGTTACTCTTGAAATTGAAATATTTTATTTGTAACGCTTCAGAACATTGAAGTATCTGTTGCTGCTTGCTTCAGAACTTTGGAGATCAGAGCCATGAAATCCTGTTTGCAGCGTTAGAACTTCTTTCAAAGAGTTTTATAATCATATTTGAAACAACATTTGTTCACATCTTCTGGTCTTCTTCCATTAGATATTTTGAGAGATGTTTACAATCACAGCAGAAATAGCTTTATAACTTATCTTCTGATCTTCTTCCATCAGAACTTCTCTACAAAACAGAATATAATTTTAGGGAGCATAAATATTATTTGCTTTTGTTATCATCAAAACTCTTACAAGGGTTGTAGAATCAAACTATGTTCTAACACATAGCTTCCCCTCTAATACTAATATGAAAAACCATGTTGTCAATACCTTCTGCTTGCAACTAACTATTATCAACAAGTTTTACCTTGCTCTTCTTCAAATCGTTGAAATCTACCAACCATACCTTTTGACCAGTCATGTGATTTGAACATCTTGAGTCGAGGAACCAGATTTTAGACTCGACATGATTATCCGCTACTGCAGCCATAACCACCATACCTTAAGAATCATCTGAGTCTTAGCATGCAAGATTCACTCCTTCGCCCTTGTCTGTCGATCCCTTGTCTTTCTTGTACCAGTAATTCTTGGTCAAATGACCCCACTTTTCACAGTTATAACATTGCATACCTTTCTTATCTTCTTTGTCCTTTTGATAATTTCCTCCTTCTCTTTTTGAGGATTCAGAAGCTCTATCTTTGACCTGATGCTTGTGACGGTTCGACCAAGACTTCTTTCTTTGAGTCTTGTAGACTTTTCCTTTGAATTTGTTGGGATCACCATTCATTTTCCATGTCTGAACTTCCAGAGTTTGTATCAAGTCTTGAACTCATTTCCTTTTGACAATCCTAATCTCACACGCTTCCAACGAACTAATCAAATCTTCTAGTTTTAGGGTTTAAGTTGATTGGATTCTTAAATAGCTACGATAATATGATCAAAGTGAGAGGTCAACGTACGCATTACCTTCTCAACTATCATCTTATCAGTTACGGTTTCACCACAATCCTTCATGAGATATACGAGTTTCTGGATCTTCGACACATATTCTACAACTTTTTCGTCTTCTCTCATCGACAATAATTCACATTGTCGATGCAAGGTCTGCAACTTGACAACCTTGACTTTCTCACCTCCTTCAAAATACTTGACCAAAATATCTCATGCCTTCTTTGCCATTTCAGCATGAGAGGTTCTATCGAAGTTAGAAGCATCGACTGCCACCTGAATGCAATAAGCAACCTTGCAATCTTCCTTCTTGACTTCGTTGCAGACAGTTTTATGTGCTTTGATTGCATCTGCAGCCAGTGTAGGAACACCGTCGATAATCACTTCTAGGATATCTTGGAAGCTAAACAAGGATTGCCTCTGTTTTTTCCATCGGATCCAATTCTTGCCGTCAAACATTGAAAGAAAATTTGGAATACCCGTATCACCAGCCATCTTCGCAGCGCTTGATTCACTATTCCTGAAACACGATCTCTGACGTGAAGTTCTTGAAAATACGATCAAGAAAAATCAGAAGCTCTGGATACCAATTTGTTAGTGCGTGAGACACTTTTAGTGAGGAGAAAAAGAGAATAATAAGGAAATAAAAATTATATTATTCACTTAAATTATACTGTGCAAATAATGATACAAACTATGACTATTTATATACAATCCTAATTGGGTTTGAACTTTCTACCTTAGATTATATTTAATATTATATCTAATATCTCAACGTATCTAATTTGAATTATATTTGATATTATATATAATATTTCAACATATCTAACTTAAATTATATTTGATATTATATCTAATATCTCAACATTAATCAAAAATAGAATTGGTAAAAATCAATTAATATTGCATTAAAAAAATAAAATGATATTTATTTTGAGATAACTTTTTTAAATTAAAAAGACACTTATTTTGAGTATTATTATACTCAAACAACTAAATTGTTAAACATTGTCACTTCTTAGTAGATACTATAAATATACGTATATGCATAAAGGTGAAAGGCACAAAGATATGCCAAGGGTGATATACTCATTGCATTCTTGCAAGATTGAAACCGCGTGAATTAGATGTAGGGATAATTCCAAATCCCACAATTCAACCAAGTAAGTATTTCTCTTCAACCATGACCACGAGAATACATAAACTGGATTATCACATTCCAACTCATATCGAGCCTATATCAAACTTGAATATTATCCGGTCGCTATTATAAATGAATTTTTATTCTTATTTCATTAAACTATTGATTTATCTATTTATAGGTTAAATATATAAATTGTAATCAATAAAAACATTAATTTTATTAAAATTTGAACTATCATAATCGAAGCTCTCGAAATGGAATAGATGATTTCATGGTTTTTCTTTTGGACCACTCTCTTACTACAATATTAGATGTACGAACAAAACAACCAACATGCGAATCTTATAAAGTTAATGCAGCGTGTTGACGTGATGTGACCAACATACAAAAAAAAAAAAAAAAACACTACTCCAATACATCATCAACAAACAAGAAAAGTAGCATCAAAATCTAACAAAAAAAAGCAGAATAATCATCATATACGTTTCCATATCTTCTTTTTGTCCTTCTCCACCTAAATTTCAGCGTGACAATCCTTTCCAATACCTAGGAGTTTACCAGTGTTCTTAGTAGGAACAAATCCAACATCAAGATTACCACAATATATGTCCAAGAATTTTTCCCTACTTGGCAATATTCCAGCTTCATATACAATTCTAACCATCATTTTCACGTCAAAGTTCACTATCCCTTTATTCCAATCCTTAACCAGATCATTGTACAACACTTTATTATGACCTAATTTGGTGATGGAAGAATTCTCTAAGCTAAACTTAATCTTCACACCCTTGTCACTGCTCCTCTTCAAGTAAATAGGTGGCAGCAAAATAGCACTCGAGACTCCCACAGAGCTATAAAACACCCAGACATAGAATTGGTCAACTGTTATTTCAACCTTTTTGTTTGGATTTGTTATGTTTAATTCAACCTCAAGCACACCTTTGAGGTCTGAATCAGAGACATTGAAATTCGATACAGAGATTGTGCTGACTCGAAAACGAGGTTGATGAGGGTCCATGACACTCCAAGCAATTGAGATGATAACAGTTAAAAGAAGAAAGAGTAAAACGAATGTCCAGGTAAGTCTACGGATTATACCAAAAGCAGAGGAATTTGGAGCACTAGTAGTTGCATTAGTGTTGGTATGAATAGGCTGTGGCTCCATGTGGATTTTTGATGTAGAGTGTGCGCCACGAGTTATTCTGTGGTGAGTAGCCAAAAAAATTTTTGGTTCAAAGCTTTTTAGTATTGTCTATATTTAGCAACAAACAATCTTGTAATTGAAGGTGAATAAGAATGATGTGTAGTGTTGTGATTATGGCAAAAGGCAAGGTATATATAGACGGTATATTTCAAGGAAGCAGCTTCCACGAAGCATCCTCGAAATAACATGAAAATGAGAAAACAGCATTAAGGCGTAGATGCATACATGAATAAAGGTAACAGTGAATTTGTTATCAAATTATCTGCCAATAAAAAAAGAGAATTTGTTTAGTGTCCTACTTTTTTGATTTTAAGGTTATAAGTGTTTTATTTCATACTTCCTAGACTTATATTCATTTTATATTTATTGTTACTCACGTGTTACTCTCCTAATTTTTCTTCTTATTTTTTATTATTTTTAAATCTCTAATAATTTAATTTAATTGACTCTTCAAATTTGTGCAAAGTTTTTTCTGTTTTGAAATATACTTTGAGAACGGAAAAGTCGCTCGATTTAAACACTTGCACATATTCCAAATAATTACATACTCAGTGAGCCACACAAAAACACTTAATTGAATATTCTATTTCTTTTTTATTCACCTCAACTACGTTACTTTATTTTAGCATATATGATTTCATTTTATTTTGCTCTGTAATCTTCATTCTAGCGATTGTAATCTTCATCCCACGATATCATTTTTCATCTATCACACCCCTAAATTCACACCCTTTTTCCACCTCTACTGTCCATTACTACCCTAAATCGAGTACCTTAAACGGTTCATTTGTCGTCACCGACAACAAACAATTGCCTTCCCGTAAAGCTTCAAATTCGCAATATAGTCTCACTGCTACAGAAAATCTCAGAGAGATTGGTACTTTTACAGTCGCCGATGAGCCTGTCATGTTTAAGGATCTTTGGGATCAAGAACAGGTAACCATATGCTTATATTCATTTCATATAAAAAAAACTTTGATTTACCCATCTCATGTTTTGGGCACACAAATTTTTACCTAAAGTTGTGGTTTTTACTTTCTAGAATATTAATTTTAATTAGTATTTAATCGATTAATTAATTGAGTTAATTTGTTGTTGTTAATATTGGTAACATCAATAAACATAATTTGGTAGTCTTAGTGTTTATTTATGTTGTCAATTTGGTTTTCTATGATTTGTTTAGGAGGTTTACATATGATCATTTGGCTCAATTGGAGTTTATCTTACCAAAGGCATTTTCTATTAAGAATATATAGTGTTTGACGCAAGAACGAGTTGTATGAAGTCAGATCTTCATGTTACTATAAACCATGATGCAATAGTGTTTGATTATGTTTATGCAATAGCAGAACATTTGGTAGAATTTACTTACGTATGGTTGGACAAACTACATATCATTTTAATTATGTCTACACAATAGCAGAAAATTTGGCTGGGAGTTGACATATTTTTTGTCACTATGTATGACAGTTTAAGAAGGATCTCGAAATTGTGGTGAATCAGTATCCATTTGAAGCTTTAAAGTTGTGGCAAATCAGTATCATCTTGATACAAGGCTGCAGAAGACGTAAATGCTTGTGTGAAAATTTGAAGGTTTATGCTATAATTCATATTTTTGGGTGGAGATTGTTATTTCTTAACATGCCTTCGCGGTACAATCTGTCCCATTTGTTGACACCTCTAATGAATGTTTATGCGTTTTCAAGAAGAGTCTGGAGTGACATGAATTTGTATGTAGCTATAATATATTCTAACCATTTATTCACTTGCAACCATTAATTGTATGTAGCTGATGAATAAGTTTCTCTTAATGAGTACCAGGGTTTATAGTAAATTAGTCCAGTGTTGTTTCGTATACATTTATGATAGTTGAAGATCAAAATGGTCTGTATTCGTTTGTGACAATAGAAGATAAAAATTGTTTGTTGTGACAATTGAACCTATATGCCATAGAGTCTCTTTATTCAATGATAAAAGCGATTCGAAGAAATTTCTTCCTACATGGAATAAGGTAAAGATAAGAGTCCAAATGATAAAGTTTCAAATCATATTAACTTACTATGTGTGATACGATGGGAGAACTGACTTGAAGGTTTTGCGTTTGATCGCAAATGTTGTGGTTAGCAAGAGTCTCCACCGACTTTTCTTTTATCCAAAAGAAAAGATGAAAAAACACATGAAAGACCTTTGAGATTATTTCTTGATTCGGGGGATAGATTATGAAAAGGGAAGGTATTAGCACCCTTTTCATCCATGGTTTTCTATGGACTCTTAGTTAGTTGCTAGATCACTTGCTTTTGTTTGAAATTGTGCTTTGTGTGTTTTTTTGAAAGTATTTTGTAAATAGGTCATTGTTTAGGCAAACTTTGTAATGATTCTCGTTGTATACAAAATGTTTGATCTTTTGAAAATATTTTCAAGTTTGTAAGATGTTTTAAAAGTGTATGTGTTTGTTTTTTAAAATAGCAAGGATGTTTGTTTTGAAATAGAGCAAGTAATTAAGAGCATTCTACCTACTCAAAAGTCTTTCTTGTTCATTTTCCTTTTCCTTTGACATTGTTATCTTACCATTGGTTTGGTAAGTAACTCTATCCTTGAATGTAAACGAGACGGGTCTGAGTCATCGTATAACCATGATTAGCAATGTTGCAAGGTATCTTAGCATTCTCTTTTAGGGACTAAGATCATTTGAAAGGCAACTTAGATAGCGTCATCGAGGAACTATGATCTTATATTTTGTTTGTTTTTGCTAACATACCTCGTATGCGTAATATGACCATTTTGTAAAGGCAACCAAGTGGATTTACCCTAGGGGTGCTTGTGTGCAATTGTATTGTTTTCATGTTTGATTTTGTTTTGAATTAGGGTTTTCTAAGTATTGGTTTTAGTCTTTCCATACAAACTCTAATTACTAACATGTTATATATAAAGCGATAAATTACGGAATTTAAAGTTACTACGCTATTACAATACTTGTGGAAGGGGTGTACAAAATATAAATGGGGATTGCAAGAAAATAAACCTACTTAATCTATTACAACCATATTGAATTTATACAAGAATTGGAATAATAATGTATAAGATGAACAAATGTACAAAAATGAAAATGTGAAGAAAATAGATATTTTTTGGTTTGCATGAGAAAAAGGAGTTTTGATTTTAACCTAATTAATTAAAAGAAAATAATTAATTAAAATAATAAAAGTAAACCTAATTTTACTAGGAAAAGATAATTAAATAAAACCCTAAATTATTCAATTGATTAAAAAAGAAATTAAGTTTAAGAAAAGTATTTTTGGTATTTTTGTCATAAAAATAATTTATAGTATTATAAAATATTTTTGGTCTTTTTATATATTAAAATAATACATTTAAATGGTGTAAAAGAAAATAACTAAAATCTATTTTTTAATTAAATTTACAAAGATAATTAGTAAAGTAAATAAAGTATTGATTAAATAAAATAACTTTTGTGAGAAAAAATAAATAAACTATGTCAAAATATAAATCTACTATTTTTATATTTTTTATGATTTTTTTAGTATTAGGAAAATATTTAAGAAAATAAATAAATATAAGAAAAATAAGAAAAAGAAAATAAAACTGGGCCAGGGGGTTAACAAGTAAAATAAAAAACAACAAGGCCCAAGGAGGCCCAACGCCTGCAAAAAAAAGAAGTCAGAAATGCAAAAAATATGATAATCAAAAGGGTACCACTGGGGTTCAAACCCAGGTCCCTCAGGTTACAGACGCGCGCTTCTACCACTGGGGTGACTATACATCCGTTTATATAAATCAAACAATAAATACATAAGGCAAACATGTTTCTGAAGCCAACTCCATCTTCAACCTCACGCCCAGCCAGAACCTCTGTAACTTGTTCAAATCTCAACAAAAATGAAAACTGTAAACATGAAACTTGTAGCAAATTTCCTCACGGTTTCAGAAATGTAAAGCATTAAAACTATAGATCAAAGACAAACATGAATTTCATTGGTCCTAATTTGAACCCTAAAAATCTCAGAAAATTCAATCTTAAAATTCTCTAAGCTCAGGCAAAATTAATGGAAACTATGGACATGGTTAACTTTAGGGCAATGATATCTACATGTTCCATTCACAAATAAACCATTGATGGTGCTTGTATGAAAAGTTCCAAAGTTAGAAAACTTACCTTGCAAGAGGGTATCGGGTTTGGAGTTTGAGAAGCTTTCAGTGAGTTCCAATGATTGGGTTAACTTCCTTAAGTTCCCAAGAAGCTAAAGGGATGCTTAGCTTGAGTTGAAAGTGCCTGAGGAGTTCTGGAGAAGTTCAAGTGCAAAGCTCTATTTTTGAAAATGGAGGATGGTGTTAATGGTGTTACAGTTCTATAACAGGGTGTGGGATCAGTTCTAAATGATGTTTTAAAACTTTAGGAACCAAAAGGCTTGAAAACACACGAGGGAGTTATGAGTTTCAAGTTTTTGGTCAGTTTATGTGAAAATGGAGGTATGAGATGTTATTCTGAGCTCTTGGTGTTTTTAGGGGTCAAGAATTCGTGTATTTTGTGGAAAATGGTTTTTATATTGTTGTACCCCAAAATTTTCCATCTCATTTTATCAACATTTCTCATCACAAGGCTCTTTGAACTCAAGATCAAGCTAGGTTTTGCACTGCTCAAGACATCTCCTTGCACTGATGACCTAAATTAGGGTTTGAGTTTGCACAAGGAATTTTGGACTTCTAATGCTCAATGTGACTTTCATGCTTCATGTTGGACTTATAAGATTGCTCATACCAAGTTCCAAGCCTTGAATCAAATTTTTGCCCAGTCAATTGGACAATTGACCTAGAAATCAGCTGTATTGGGAAAAAAGTCAACTGTGGTCAATTTACAGTCAAAACTTATGAATTTTGACCCACATCAACATTATGAACTCATATGAACCATTTGATCAAGTTTGGACTACAACTCCACAAGAAATTTGATCAGATCACCAAAAGGGCAAAATGATCATTTTTAGGGTTTTGACTGTACAAAGGAAATTTCTGATTTTTGACCTAGCCAATGGCAAATTGGGTTCCACCATGGACTCAAGGACTCAATGGCATCATCTTGACCTATTCAACAAGTTCAAAAGATCTCAATTGCATTGGATTGACAGATGAATTTTTCAGTCAACTGATCAAAATTTGATTGTACACTGAAAAGTCAAACTTTGACTTTTTGATCAAAATCAAGTTCCAAGAGTCATTTTTCATCTATATATGTCAAAACATGAAACTTGTTCATCAAGAAACCCATTTTTTCAAATTAGGGTTTAAAGTTGAAAATTTTCATAACTTAGAATTTTTCTAAGTTATGAAATTTTCTTAATTTTTCCTAACTTTGCCCCATATTTTCACCATGATGCAGTTGGATTCAAACAAAACTTCCAACATGAAAGTTGTAGTCCTCCAAAACGTATATAACTTTGATTCACAAAGTTTTCTCAAAAGAAGCTTGGATCTCAAGTTATGATTTTTGGAACAAGGGTCCCTAAAACTTTTAACTTAGTGAAATTTTGCCCTAGTTTAGGCAGAATTTTGACCTATCTTCATGGCTATTTTTCACATAATTCCACTTGGAATCTAAAGTTGAATTTCAAATATGAATTGTAGGGCATGTTGCAAGCTTTCCAAAATGTCCAAGAACTCCTCAAACACATTTGTGGTTAGAGAGAATCAAAGGCTTGAAGTTGGCAAAAACTCATTTTTCATCCATGGCATATTCATGTTCATACAAGTTGCAATTTCAAGTCAGCATGCTTTGCACTAGATTATAGGCCTCTAAACCACTTCACACTAAATAATTTAATTCAAATCCATTGGTCTAAGGTATTGTTTTGGTCATTAGGGCATTGTACACAAGATTAATCCCTAAGTAGAAAAAGATATATTTCCATTTTTGCCAAATCTTGCTTTATGTCAAAACCACAATCCTTGAGCATAGAGCCAAATCTTGTGCAGAAAAGCATATCCATCAACTTGAGGGGCCAAGATCAGAAGAGGCAGGCTGATAGATAGCCTGTACAGGCTTGTATTACATCATTGTGCATTTTGGCTTAAAATACAAGAAACATGTCCAAAGCAAAAGAACTTGAACATTAGTCCAAAGAAACTTGTGCAAGCATTTTGAACATCTTTCTCACATCCCTCTGAGCCAGAAACACGATTGCTTGAGCCTCTAAACATCCCCTAGCCAGAAATCACCTTCCATTGGCAAAACAGGGCAGAACTGCAACTTGACTTCCATAACTCAATTTGCTCGTGCGTTTTGCCCCAAGTTGGTTCAAACACCTTCCATTTCATCCATCCAAACTATCCCAAACCTCAAACACCAATTGTAACTCCATTAACAGGGTTTTCCATTTTCATTTTGAGCTTGTGCAAGTTGAGTTCTATAGGCTGATTCAAGTACATTCAAGGCAAGCAGGCTATTGGAGAAGGTCAAGTGAAGTTCAAGCAAGCTCCTAGACATCTCAGGCCTTGTTGAAAAGCTCCACATTTCCATACACGAAGTCAGCTGAAACAGGTTTTTGTCAACTTCTTATCTCTCTATTTAGGAACATTTAGCCTTAGGTTTGTGAATAAGAAATGTAGTATTCATTGCCATGAAGTTGTACATATGCTCAATTTTCATTTATATTAAGCATGCTAAGAGAATTTCATCCATGAACATACTGAAAAAATTAGGTTAGATTTTAGGACCAGAGAAATTCTCTCTGGTCTTTGAGAGTTAAGACAAGTTGTTTATATGG